AATAGCGGATAGCGTGCTCCCAACGAAGTTCGCTACAGCCAAAGCGAGAGCAAAATGACTGAGAGTCATCATCGCGTGGGGGGTAAGACGACGTCTGCAACATCCTTGTCTTCATTTGTATTAGATGAAGGAAAACGATAATCGGTTATTCCGAGGCCGCATGTCCCTTTCCATCAACAGCCCTGCATTGTAGCACTTTCCATCGATCACTGGATATTAGGGCATCCAAGCGAGGCTGACCTTGCCCGAGCCAATCATGTTCTGATAATGCGATTAGGAGCACACAGGCGCTGGAAACTGACTGGTAATTGTGGTTCAGGAATGGGGCGTTCAATCGCGGACAAAGATCTTGGAGACACCTTGCATGAGCGAAAAGAATAGTATTCGTAAGCACACTTACCGGAACATGGAGGAGTTTCTAGAGAAAGAACCAAACGATATGATGGCTCAAGCGCAGCCGAGGCGTCGCGAAGTGCCGATTTAATCTGCACCACAATCACAGGAAGCAATGACCGATGACATGTCTGCCTGACATCTTCCACTGCCAGAAGGCAGTGGCGCAAGACACTTCGCAAACCGATAATCCCATTGAAACATCGAGGAAAGTAGAGCAACAAGTCCGAACTCTTCCTTCAGGTTGCATCGTCGAGGGGAGATACGTCGGACTGCTTAAGTTGCACTAACGAAAGCTCCGGAGAGTGTATAGAAGATCATAGTGTATATACCACTTGAATCCTCTTTCTTAGCAGTGTCAGAGACATCGCTGTCCATGCTATATCGACCATACGTATTTCATCCTTGAGCGGCACGAGAGATCGAAAGTTCGCCCTGTTTTCCCGGCCCTGCCCCGGGAAGTCGGGGAAGAGGAGAAAAGCAGCACAGGTAGCAAGGTACGAAGTTGCAGTTTGCTTCCTAGTTCAGGAGAATGACCGCTGTCGGGGCAACGATGTCTCTCCGACTCTGGAGCTGAATGGTCCTGCAAGAGTATTTCAGCTTCACAAAGTCGTGTAATTCGTCCGTCGTCCACCCTATGTCCCATGATTTAAGAGGGTATCCACTTCGCAGGAAGGATAGAAATAAAGGGGGCAGTAGTCGAAGACGTTGAATGAGAGCAGGTGGATGCAAATCAAGCTGTGCTTGTACCTAACTGCATCCTGATAATCACCGGTAAGTTGAACTTCGTAACAAAGATTTGTTATGGACGTATTCAAATTGTCCAAATCACGGAGTTCTGATGACATCCGCGAAGCTCATTGGACCGAGAAAGACGAAAAGAAAGTGCGAGCCTGGCCTGTTGGCCCGGAACGTGCTGTCGCGGTGTGTGGATGAAAGGCAATTCCCGTACCCAAATTAATAAATAGTCTCACGCCACAGGCGCGTTCAATTGTTGATCACGAACTGCGCGCTATCAGTAGTCTCGTAGATGCGTATCGGTAAAGACCGTCGATGAAAGGAGAGATGGTAGATGTATGTGCTACCAGTGCATCGAGCTCAATCGAGCTCACATAACGGTGCACACCTTCAGTCACGCGATGATAATTCACGCACTTAATACCGGGTAAGGAGCAAATAGGTGGTAAGTATGTGTTGTCTGACTCTGAAAGGCGATATCAGCTTACCAGAAAATCATATTTGGCGAAAAGATGCGAAGATCCCTATGCCTTGTGAACAGAAGTCGGGTCCTAGGAGATAATTGGTGAATCATGATATTTTTTTAGTTACAATTCTTAGTTTCGGAAAAATCCTGGTCTCATGGTGAGGAGCTTTGAAACGCGACTATTGCGTACCAGAAGGCTGATGCATTACAATCGATATGACTACTTGGGAGTGATGCAAATTCGCGGAACTTGCAACCAGGTGCGCGCAGGTGCGCGCGCCGTTGACAGAACAGATTTAGCAGGGATGTACAGCCTCAATTGAAGTCAGATCTAGCAACTGGAGATGGACAGAATGGAATCAAACGTTTCAGATACTTGACTGTTCTCAACGATGGGTCCAGGCGTGTACTCTGCTCTAGTGGACGGAGGTCTTCAAACGGTGAACACGGCGGGGATACGAGAAGGAGATGTCCGGGATATGATCAAATTCAGTCACTGTGATCGTCTATGCGCTGAAATTCCATGATGACTGAGTGATTTCCCTAGAGAACAGCATCAATCATCGTTTCAATGGTCATCAGCATGGAGCGCGCTAGATTCGAGTCGGTGGTTCCTTGCGCTTATAATCTATATAGTTTCCGATTCGATTCCAGAGAGGCTAAGAAACGAGGTTCCCAAACGCTGCAGAAAAAGCGAGCATCAAAGCCAGGCTGGAAGAATTGCTAGAACGCTATCTATGTTTTTCCGCGTCAAAGAAAACCCGTGGTATAGCTGTAGATCATCACAAGGTCCCATACGCGCCATAAGATGCTCACTGCCAGGGATACAAGAATCCTGAAGGTCCTCCGACAGGTAGATCCAACAAATCTCGTTGCATTGATTGGGCAGCCTATATTGCTATGACGGTGGAAAGGAATGGAGATAAAAGCGCCTCCGGCGTTTCTTGGTCGTGAGAGTTCGGGACAGCCGCTAAGCAATCAAATCTGTCGAAGTTCTATGATCGGCTCGCCAACTTTTCACCGGCCAGGAACGTCATTTCGTCATTTGACCGATCATGTAAAGTAGATGAAGCTGCTTCTTCCACGCACTACCACACCTTCGGAGCTCGACCTGACCCTGAGACCTACATCCTCCTAGCAAATTCAGCCATCAGTACTAGCCACCTCGAAGAAAGAGTCGTATCTATCGGCACCCTCCGATAGTTGAAGCTGCTTGGCTTGACGGCCACTCTTGATCGGAGTTTGCATCGTATGTATATTACGATGACGGATCAGATTTACTAGATTTGCGCTCCTTTGTACAGCCGTTCCCAAGTTGCGACTGGATATCAACAATCAACCCCTTGACGGATTCGATGAAAGATTGTCATTGCAATGTCATCATTTGTTACTAGGCGGTGCTGTTAGCGCGCTAGGCCGACTATCAATACAAATATGGTGTGTTGATTATTGATTTTCATGTATTTCGATATTCAAGTTTCATGCTGTACCGGATCCTGAAACATCGTCAGCCTTGATCTTGACTACACTCGTCTTATACTTGTGAAAGCATGCCAACAACAAGTCACTCACTACATCAACAACAGGGTATAAAAGACGGTGGGTTGGATGGGTATTTCTTCACTACCCTACTTTCTTCTCTAGCCCGGAGCCAGAATAAAAAACAACAGACTCGCTTATAATTAATATGTCTTTCAGGCACTTTCTTTCAACCGCATCCCTCAAAAATATTATGTGCGTTTCATTCCGATTTTTCATCCAATGAATAATGCTCACGACGGGTCTAGAATCGTTCTCAAACGAGATTACTTTAGGTTCGTGCACTGTTCAACTATAATATTATCCATCGACTTTCTCTCTAACGGAGTCCTTATCAGTCCTTCGAAGCCTGGTCAAGGGTACGCCGGTTCTATTATATCAGATATATGAACTCGCCTTAGCTGACCCTTAACAGATACATTCCCCGCGGAAAACAAACCAACACCAGTCAGGCTTCCTCTAAGCCTGGAGGTGGGCCCAAGGGACATGGACATGGGGGCAGATAAAGACTGACTATCGTCAACCTCGCAAGTACGAGATACTTATTAATCCCGTATAACTCACACTCCCTTCGACCTACAAATCTACTCCCTAATTAGTTGGCACTTCTTTAAAGTTGTCATATAATCTTAGAGTTACGTATCCCCTTCGTTTCGTTTCTGTATGGTCCCGAGAAATAGCTTTAATAGTTGTTAATGGAGTACCTTTACATGCATCTCCGTCGGGGACGCACGCCTCCTTGGAGCTTATCTTTATAACCCTTTCCATCCTTTCGTCGCAACGCACTTCCTTGACTGATGTTTATACACAGTGGTATAACCCTGACAACGGATTAAGCTTCCATTGTTGAGTCACCGAGTCCCGCTGGCGGATATTGATGGTACGAGTAAGGGAAAGGGGAATCTATCAAAATAGTGTTCTTCCTGCTGTTAACAGCAATATATCGATCTGATTTATCCATTGAATGTAGACCTCGAAGTACAGATGTATTTTCTCAGAGGAAAGCGCAGAATAAAGTAGCTGATGACCGCGCAAGCGTGTCTCCCGAGATTAGAAATGCGTGCCAAACCAGTCGTATACAGACAGTCGGAGTAAAGCCTCACAGAAAACGTACGTTCTATGAGTCGCGGATACGAGTGTGGCCCGTATGTCGATATGTACGTGTCGATCACATAGCTGAATTTGCCGTGAATTGCTTCTCATATGGATCTACTTGTGTGTTTGCTTAATTCCGTGGGTGTATCGTTGTATATAAGGCTGGATATTATATGTCACGTTTGCCAGAGTTGTCGACCATGTTTGATACTCACAGTAGCCCACTTCGCTTGAGAACGGTATTGGAACGGCCCCGCGATCCTAACAGTGTCTTTCATAGCGTCGGTGACACAAGCAATACTTTGCAGCCAAAGCGAACTGTTGTCCGTCGGCTTACAGGAAAATTCTTCGAACAACTGGAAAGTGGTGGGCCGTCATGGTATTCCAGAGATGTTCTTCAGGAGAGTGCGCAGCTAGTAGTACATCCCTCACTCACTTAATTGAGCTAGAACTCATACAGAACAGGATGTTCTTGTTGGGTGGCCTCCCCTTAAGCTTGGAAGTTGGTACGACAATAGATACTTTCCGGTGCTTCGTCGAATGAGTGGGTGGTGGTAGACAGCATCTTTATTAGGTGACTCGCCAATCATTGATGAAACACACAGGTTTTCCAAGAGTTTCTGCGTCAACTGGGCAATTCGTTCATTCAACTTCCACTTTTCACTTGGCTCACTTTCTTCTATCTCTCTGACTTGAGTCCAATACGGGAACTTCTCAGTGTTGGGGGGGAAAAAAGGCATTAATACAGCACCGTAGGATTGCAAAACGCTGACAAGAGTGGGATTCGAACCCACGCCCTATCGGACCAGATATTATGATAAGACAGAAACTGCCTTGGTCCCGATGTCCTGAAAAATCGAAGTTCCTTAATCTGGCGCCTTAACCGCTCGGCCATCTTGCCGCTGAGTGTGGGCGGATGATGTTAGTTCCATTTCAAAGTGTCAGATCTGCCATTAAAACGGCAATTTGGTCGTTAGGAAGGGGGGATGGAGGAGAACTGATCGACAACGTGGCACCGATCACGCGAAATTTTCGGCTGCCTAATTGAGCATTTTTAGACAAGCAACATTCTGTAAGTAATAAAGGGTTTTGAATGAAGAAATTGATGTATTAGACCTAACCGAAGCTCGAAGAAAGATTCTTGGAACTTGTTCTGTTTAGAATATCTCTGTGGGACGACCAAGGTCGGATGATCGGGACGGAATCCCCAGGACAACAAGGACATACAATGGCTATTTTCAATGTTGCAGTTCTTCCTCCACGACCATCAGACTTCATGCTCCTCCAATTGCCAGTAGAGCTTCTTCTCAAGATATCTGAACTGGTAAATACCTCGATTTCTCTACCTAACTTTTCTAACTTACTTTTCTGTAGCTCAGCCATGGAAGTCAGAAGAACCTTCGTCTCGTCTGCAAATCGCTCAACGACGCCGCTATCGAGCTTGTTTTTGCGACTTATAACATAACTGTCACTGAAGATGGCTTGCTGTCGGATCGGGCCATGCTGAAGGCGCTGGCGACGCGCACTACGGATATCTGGAGATACGTCAAGGTGCTGCGTCTGGTTCAACCTCCACGTCTGGTGTCGCCCTTCGCAAATGGAAAAATACCCCACAAGTCGATAAGGGATGTTGCAAGTGGATTGTACAAGGCGATTTTGTCATTGGAAAACACAACAACTGTCGAGTGAGTTTTAATCGACTTCTTCTAGGCCTTGAGCCAATTTTCTTGCAGCTGGTTTAGTGTTAAAGCCGTCGACGACACCATCATTGGGGCTGTGATATCAAGTATCTGTCGACTACCTTCTCTTCGAAAGTTCATATTGTACATGGCGAACAGGATGCGCAGTCAACTCCCTCGCTTTCACCTGAAGAACCTCACATCATTGGATCTTTCGTTCAGTGGACCGTCCTGGGACGAATTTCTCCGTGATAGCCTGCCCAGTGTCTTGGAGAATTGCCCCGACTTATCTTTTCTTTATCTGGCCGACCACACGGCGGGCCCCGCAACTACATTGGGCAGCTTATTTCAAAACCTCCGCCATCCATTGCGATTGAAGTCGCTGGTCCTCTGCAAGATACGCGTCCCGCCGTCTATCATCCTCGTTCCTCATTTCCAGTTCCTTACACTCTTCAGTGTAGCACCTTCTGGAATGATTCCACCTAAATTCTGGTCCGGCTTGCACAACGTTCATCTCCGTTCCCTCAATGTTGATGATGTCAATGCGGAACTTTTGGATTATCTGTTGTCATACACTGGCGTGGAGGAGTTCGGAATCCAGGTGCCTGAAGACAATGCAGAATACGACGAGCTTGGGACCAAGTTCTATTCTCAAGTGCTACCTCATCATTCTGCGACGTTAAGGATACTGAGTATCCAACCAAGATTTGAAGGGATGTGGTCTTTCCAGGAATCAACTATGTTGCCCATCCTACAGTGTCGCAATCTGGTCTCTCTCTGGGTGTCTTTGCGCTTCTCAGATATTTCCGACCCCACTACTCCGGGCGTAGTTGTCAGTCGAAGTTCCACTTTGATATTATCAAGCATTCGCTGATTTCTCTTACTAGGCGTACCTGTTACACTCCATCAAGTTGTTACCCAACCTCTCCACTCTTTATTTGGAGTGCCCCATGTCTTTCTCCCCGCGTTTCCCCCCGACTACCGACAGTCGCTGGAAAGCCAAACATATGCTCGGGCAGGCGATTGAGGCTGTCAATACTATACCCAACCAGGATCCGTATCGCGCCCTTCAAATTAGGGTTGAGCCGTTCGGCGGAAAGTATAGAGCACATTGGAACGCCGAGAGTGGCTTCTCCGCTTTTTATGCTGAGACTCGTGATACTGACGGTATTACTGTTCATATTCCATTGGGTATCTAAGAGTTTACCTGAGTGTGTATATAACATAGAAAGGCAGGAGTGTAAAGAATACAAATTATACTTCATTCAGACAATATTTTATGCAACTACTGTGTCCCCGTCGGCGTCTTTCTCATGGTTCTGTTCTAGTGTTTTCGTCTTGTCCTGAAGGAGTAGCGTAGGATGGAATATGTTGAACGTATAAAGCGCGAGTACAATCATTGTTCCATCGAGCACATCTAGTCAGTTGATGAGACAACAACCCAAAGATAAGACGCAAAGCCTCACTGAAATAGACCTCAGTGGTAATGATTCTTCCCGTCCACCCATCAGACAGCTCTATCGTACGATATACAGCTCTGCCCTACTGTTATTTCGGTTGCCAAGTTCCAAGACAAAGAAGACGTACCGAATAAACAGACAAATCGTACTGAAGGCGAGGGCTGCTGTGAGGAGTTTCAATTTCGTGTTCAAGTGACCTCTGGTGATGTCGTGTCCGCGAATAGGCTTATCAGCCAAGTATCTTATGAAGAACTCGCTGCCCAAGATGGAGTATATCGTTATGACAGCTGCTTCATGTCAGAGAGAAGGTCTTGTAAATGATGAATCGAAGAACGTACCCATTTGGAAGGCAATACCTCCTAGCATGATATGTCCTCCCTGCGGAACCGCCAAGAGTTAAATTTCTGTCCAGCGAAAAGATAGATCGTGATACACCTTTTCCGGATCCGTGTCCTCAGATACAGCCGTTGCTGCCATTCCACCACCAACAGCTTGTATCACGAGAGATATTACATCGCAAGAACAAAAGAGAATAAGATCTAGAGAAGCCCAGAGAATGAGTAAAGCAAAAAGAAGATTCGTAGGCAAAAAGTACACACATGCCCTTGGACTCAAGCGACTGTACCCGGCTCCAAGACGCTCAATCAGCTTCTCGAGGATCACAAAATTGGCGGCCAAGAGCGGCGTCGGTGCCAAGATGGTGCAGGTCAATCTATTCTCATGTTAATCAAAAGCTGTCCGGGACTAGTCTGACTGGACTGGCAGTGGACCTACTGCATCTCATAAGGATCTGGGAGCCCAGGGTTGGAAGTTGACCATAGCCGTGCGCTCCACCCTAAAATCTCGAGGAGGCCGCACAGGGCTGCGGTAGCTAATAGCCACCATGCCCGAGAGAAGACCGCTTGGCCGGTGTGTATTACTGCGGCGAGTGAGATAGGTGCGTGTTGAACACGAGACGAGGACATACGGGTTGATACAGAAAAAAGAACCAAGAACAGTATTGAGATCCCTCTGTCGGGAACATATCCATAGAAACTGTCCACTTGCATGGCGCGTTTGCCGAAACCAAGTACTGCAAGACCGGTGGTTGAGCACAAGGGATGCTGGATGGATCAAGAGTGACTTGCCTTCGTCTAGCATCATGTACTCAGTGGGGGGTTGGTTATTGAAATAGAAGCAGGCGCTTTCCTCCTCTTATACGCTCGCCAAGGTGTCGTGCGGCTTGGGTGAAACGGAACGAAATGGAGGACTTACGGAAGGGAATAAAACGAGTAATTAAATCATCGTGCCGTGGGTGCCTATGTGGCTGAATCATCAAGCCTTATTGGCGACGGGTACAGATGCCTGGAGATCCCAATGGATTCAATGGATACATTGACCATGTCAGTTTCAACTGCAGCTGCGTTTTTGCGCAAGGAATGCTAAGGAATGATCCCCAAGATGTTCCGAACGAAAGCTTCGATATAAAGATGACCAGTATGGAGGGGTATTCAGTAGTGAAGTGCAGAATCGAATCCGCCTAGCAGAGTCTAGAATATACGTCGTCCTGAAATTGCAAAGGCCGAATCGAGCAGGAAAATCTGCTCCCGCGGGCCGCGGGTTACTTCCCACGGATGATGACGCAAATCCTTTGACATTCTTGCCTGGATCCATCGTCTTCCATTCGCAGTCTTGAGTGGATTCAGGACTATCTTTGGTAGAAGGTCTCTGTATTTTACTATAAGATATGCTAACTCGACTTTTCTTACTTGCGTTAGATTACAGTATTGTCAAGCGACAAGCAGTTGCTCGTACTATCACTTTTCAAACAACCTGCCGCAACATCGCGTGAATATCGTCCTAAATCAGATACTTAGGAGGCAAGTGCGATTCTTCATACGGGTAAATACCACCTCCTGAGTCCGTACAGCACCTAGGACTGAATACAGCTGAATACACTCACGTTACGCGTACAGATCCCAATCAGGCGGAAAAATGAACACTAGCCTTCTAAGACTTCCCTTTCTATTATCAGCGACTTATGGTGTCCACAAATCAATGACAGCGCCTCATCTGGCGCCTGCAGAAGAGCGACTTCCCATTAAAGGCCTAGACATCGAACGAGCAGTACCTGCTTTTGCCATCTTCACTAAGGTCGGTCATAATCTAGCGCGTGTACCAGTATTTTCCGTACTATTCGCCCTGAAATTTAGTAACCATCTTCATCCTTTAGGTGACGTTTTACTTACTCTGTGCGACTGAAACGCTTGCGATCCTCTCCGCCAACGACCTTTTACCTATCCGATACGTTCCCCTCCATCTCATGCCATCTCTAAACCTCCCCCTTCGTCTCACGAAGCCCTACCTCTTTTTTTGGTCCTGCGCGATCCTCGGGTCATCTCTGCGCGTGTGCTGCTACCGCATAATGTCCTCGTTCTTCACGTTCGAACTAAGCATCCGGAAGGATCATAAGCTCATCACCCAGGGACCGTACTCTATCGTCCGTCACCCGAGCTATGTTGGGGCAATGCTATGCGGTATAGGCGCCGTAGGCTCCCATTTGAGCAGAGGGTCGTGGTTGTCAAGCTGGATTAATACTACGCCAGTGGGATGGTTATCAGCTTGGACTTTCACGATGGTGTTAATCCGTATTGCCTTGGTTCCAAGGATGAACAAGGAGGATAAAATGCTCAAGGATGCCTTTGGAAAGGAGTGGGAAGATTGGGCACAGAGGGTACCGTACAGACTTATTCCATGGGTATATTAGAGCCGATTATCGTTGG